CAAGTTACAGCAAGTCAGTCTGTACCAACTGGATGTTCACTGCTGATTGATGATTTACAGCAGAAGGTGAATGGAGCCATTAAATCTTTACCAGTCCACATATGTGTCATTTACATTAAAAAGTGTACAGAACCATTTGGGATTTCTGATTTTATTTATTTTGTGACTGTGGGTTGGGATTCTTCAACCCCTGTGCTAATACTGGATAATGAAGTACTATACGTCTTTATTAGAGAAGAAAACGTATGATAAAATATAGTACCATCTATTTAGGTATAAAACATCACAGAGGGCAGGAAACCCTGCTGTTCAAACCTTGTGTGCCTGCTGTACACAGCCATAAGGGGATACATTTTGTCCCCTCTGATCAGTGTGCACCCATGTACTGTAGGTCATGAGATTTTTATGGGTCCAATGGATCTAACGTCCTGTACTTTAATGGATTCTGTATATCAGCCCAGTAATGCAAATCTCAGCCTTGAATCATATTTAATTATATTTATATTGGTGATATCTCATACAGTGATTTACAATACTATAATAATATAATATTATATTTTATGTACTGTATATATATACTGTATATACATATACATATACACAGTATATATATTTATTTAGTGCTACTGTCGTAAGAGCTGTAAAAATACTGTCCATGTCTTTCCTACAAGCTTTGCCAAAACACACAAGCTCATTTACACGTTTCTTCAATGACCAGTCTAGGGGTGTTTTTTTTTTTTTTTATTTTTGCAGAACTTTGATATGGTTGATGGAATCAGGTGGGGGTACTCCAAAAAACAAGAACTATGTACAATTCAAGGACTTAGGTATTCTTCAGAACAAGCTATATTAAAGTCCATGCTTGTAGCAAACAGTAGTTAATTGTAAATCTTTTTCTTAGAGCCACAAGAGCAGAGTGCTTTTAAGTAGAAAATGAAATGGACAACGCTCTGCGGGACACCAGCCGGAGTCCCATTTAACTAGACCCATAGCTGACTTTCTTGCACCACAGAAGTGGCAAAGCACAGAGGTCCCCAAGATCTCTTCGAAGCGTCTGTACTCACACAGGGCCCAAGGACAGCTGGTTGCCTCCTTCCAACTTCCAAGCGACACCTTATTCCAATGATACCAGACCAGATCTTCAGCACACAGTCCCTCTCTGTCAGCTCTCTTTAGTTCCAGGGCCTAAGCATCCAGACCCTCAGGTCGCTTACCTGAGGCCTCAAGACAGCAGACATAGCAGAACTGCCTGAAAGGGCAGCGTGCCCCTTCCAGGCTGGACTAATCCTCTCCAGGATAAGACACCGAGCTCAATGCACTCACTGAATATATACAGTCTCTCAGCATGCCATCAGAGCCTGTCTCTCTGGGATAGGCCAGGGCTGTGTCAATAGTAATGCTGCCATATGCATAGCTCCATACCTATCATCCAAAAACTTCTCAAGCTCTCTGGATGTAGAGGGAGCTATCAGACTGGCAGCAGATGAAAACAATGAGTAGACCTGACTAGCAGAATGCAGCTTCACTGAGTACAGTGACCAAAGAATGCTTTTACCTAACAAACAATCACAACCAGGGGCGGACTGACCATTTGGAAACTCGGGCACTGCCCGAGGGCCCAGGGTCAGTAGGGGGCCCCATGAGATGCTCCTGGTACTTTTTTCATAGGCTTTTTTGAGTTTGAGCAAGGACACAGGGGCCCCATGATCCCCTATTGCCCGGGGGCCCCATGAGTTGTCAGTCCGCCCCTGATCACAACCACACTAAATACAAGGTGGCAACTAACTTTACCTATCAAAACACATACTATCTAGGAGTGTGATCTAATATATATATATATATATATATATATATATATACACACACTATACTATACTAGCTAACAAACCAAGATAAGGGTTCTTATTTTCACAAATGTGGCAGTTATTTTGAGCTGATTAGAGATAAAAAGTACCGATCCTTATCCTGGTGTTCTGTTATCGACTTTAACAGGATTCTCAGATCATGTGGTTTGTGTCATGTGTAACATATGTGGTTTATCGCCTTAAGTATTATCATGGTGTGTTTTACATCAACTATGTTGCAAATGGTTAGACAATTAGATTCCTTGTATGTGTAGTCAGCATGAAACTTGTACAAGGCTCAAGCCAGACTGTTTTATCTGTTATGAAAGTTATTCTGTATGAAGCAAAACTGTATGTTAAATAAAATAAGTAAAACAATAGACACATCAAAATACAAAAGTAATGTCAAAATTACCTTTAGGAAAATGTTCATTTATTAAAAGCAATACTCAATAGTTTCCCTTTTAAAGATATTTGATAGAGACCTTTAATTGCATACTAATACTATTCTTATATCTAAAATATTAAGTTGTCAGTAACCCTATGATATACTCTGCAATAAAAACGTTTTCATCTTCATTAAGCAACTGAATTTAGCCATAATATTCTTTTAAATACTAAGATATATTTAAAGAGTATATAATTTATTTATTGTTGAAAGGTTTATGTAATTTCCAATGCATCATGAGAATTCAATCAGGAAAACAGAATAAAAAAGTGCCTTACTTTACAGTATGTGCTTTTAAGTTTCATTTAATAGCTTGTACAAACTGTACTGTCTGCACATGCAATATGTCTGATTTCCGCATATTTGACCACTTGGGAATCAAAGATCACTGTAAATAGCATTTACCAACTCTGCAATAGAAAATAATGGCAATACCAATGACAATCCATGGTAAAGAATGTTGAATAGGCAACATGAGAAGATAATCTATTTTATATTGTTTTGCTCACCTTTAAAAGTACTTATAGTCGTTAGATGATTGTTGTCAAATGTTGGCTATTTTGGCATTATTAGGAAAAAAATCTGGATATCTGGGAGATGGATTCAACCCATGATAAATTATGAAGGCAACTCCACTAGAAGGAACGTTGTTGCTTTGATTAATTAATTAATTTGTTTGTTTTGTTAATTTTTTTATTAATCATGTGTTCTATTGTTCAAATATGTAAGCTCATGATCAGCTTCGGTCTTGTGTCTATGGCCATATTTACTCTGAATGCTGTATTGCCAGCACATTCCACTTTGGAATAAATAGACCTTAGATTCAGTACTGTCTGAAGTGAGCCCAAAGTAAATAGATTTTTAGGTGCAAGCAGCACACCATAGTACATAACCAAAGTTACTTAAATTAAGTAGGATTCATTTAGGTTTTAATTATCTTCTATACTATATCTGGTTTCTGTTTTTCTCTATTTTCATATAAAAAGTGTAAGCAAAAATTATAAATGAGCAATTCTATTTGGATTGGTTCTTTGTACAGGGAGAAGACATTGCCAAGATCAATTAAGCAGAACTCAGTCTAATAAAATGCACTTAGCCAAGACATACAAATAGGGTGTATTTACAAAGTGGTGAATGTGACATTCACCAAACATTCACAAGTGGGTAATAATGCTCTTTAATTTAAAGCACAGGCCGGAAAGATTCACCTTTAGTGATTATTTGGCGAATGACATAAGGAGTCCCTTGGCTGGAATATCAGTCCATAACCAATTTCTTGCACGTGTAATTGGTATTTGATAGCATAAATCGACCAAAGATCTGTTTCACAATTACTGGTTATATACTATTGCTATGGCTTGTACTGTATTATCCAATATTAATGCCAATAGTAGAGATACAAGTAAACAACTGTGAAGTTACAAGGTGCTGCAGACTGGATTGTCTTCTTTTGAGTATATATTGGAGATTGGGTATTCTCATTAGCCTGCTTTGCACCAATTTGATTAATATAAGGGTGGGTGCTGTCCCAACTGCACACTATTCAATAATATAATAATCTCTTGTGCTCCCTGTTTGTTACTTTATATGCAGATATATGTATTTCATTATACATTGGGAGAAATTTACTAAAACTGGAGCACTCAGAATCTAGTGCAGCTGTGTATGGCAGCCAATCAGCTTCTAACTTCAGCTTGTTCAGTTAAACTTTGGCAATAAAACCTGGAAGCTGATTGGTTTCTATGCAGAGCTGCACCAGATTTTACACGCAACAGTAACTATCTCCCATAGAAACCAAGTGATATTAGTTTGTATTATGACCATTTTACCATCTGCACCCAACGTACTCATGCTAATTTGGCTCCTACACAAAGTTTTCACAAAGTGATGTTTTATATGGATTACCTGAGTACAGTCCTAAACCTTACCCCTTTTCCCGCTACAGCAAACATCCTCAATGTGAAAACAGCAAACTGAAACATGATTGCATGATCACAAAAACAAAAGGCTTTGGATTGTATTTTTTCAAAATGTGTAATTTAATGCATTTCTGGTAAATTCTGAAATCTGCATGATATGAAAAACTCAATATTGAAAAATATTTTAAAAAAATGCTAAAGTATGGGCAAAACCTCTAGCAAAAGAATTAACATCAGAAAATACAGGACATATCTGTGATTCAATCATAAATTTTGCATATGCTTTGTAAACTAAGATTGGTGCAATAAATTACAGCAGACGTCCAGGCAAAAATTTTATTCCACCATGCAGTGCGGCTGTGCCCCCACTGTATGGGTCAACTGCTTTTTTTCTAGAGTGAACATAAAGCTCATACTAACCTGAGCCTCCGATCCTCCAGAGTCCCATTCTCCCCCACAGTGCAGCGGTGGATTGTGCCTGTCTGTGGAGCATGCTTTGAGTGTGCTGACGTCAGGAACAGTCCATTTACAAGACCGCTGGACCTCGCGGGGCAGGAGCCAAAGAGACCAGTGTTGTGTGGGGAGGATCTGCTAGTGAGGTAAGTATATCTCTGCTGTCTTCTCCCCTGGAAAAAACAAGCAGTTAAGCTGTACATTGTAGGCACAGCCCAACTGCACGGGCAAAACACATTATGCCCAGAGTTCTGCTTTAGGACAATGTATTAACAAATGTATTTTATTTTTAATATATATATACATATAATATATTTTTAGGATACCTTTTCAAACATGGCGCTTGCTATCTCCAATGAATTTGACTGGCCCCAATTCTCCATGTGCACTGGATTTCAGAATTCCACAATTGGGTAAGACAATTACATCTAACAAACAACATTTTAAAGCCTGGTACACACGATGAGAATATTGGAGGAATGATCGTCCTTTTTGTTTTTGCATGCTAGTCTCATATCGCAAATGAATAAGGTACTAGAACTACAAAAATTCTCATAAGACAGAATACAATTTCCCATGATGATGTAATTTATTGTATTGTAATGTATGATTTAGTTTCCAAACATGAAAAGTCTTGGTCGCTCGACTTTTTTATGGACGAATACTGTACTGAATAAACAAAAATCATTCGTTCTGTTATCTTACGAGAAAAATGTTCTTGCTTGTCCCTTCGGATATTTTCGCATGAACTGTCATGATCAGCTCTCGAAAGCTGTGTACTAACAATCAAATTATGGAACAATCGCTCCAAAAGCAGTATTTTTCGTCTGATTTTCTCATTGTATATACTAGGTTTGAAACATCGTGTTGTAATAGCACAACTTTGTGAGAATGTATTACTCCAATCATTCTTTCTCCATAAACCTTTAAACACAGGGCAGTAAAAGACCTCCAAATAGTTTAAATACATTGCTACCGAACAACATTTGTTTAACCTGTGCTGTATGTAATACATATCACATTAAATAACCTCTACACAGAAACTGAAATATCAAATAACTTCACTGGCTTTTCAAATAAAGAAGAGGTTGGGATCAGTGATTTGGGTACCAAGTCATAACTGCAGGGACTCTGTGTACTTAATATACATCAGTACTGAAAATGCAATGCCTTAGGCATCATGAGAGTGAAGGAAGCATTAAAGCAGCGCACAGAATTTAGGCGTTTGTTGGGAGGTAGGGAGTGAAGTAACAGTTCTTTTTTTCATTTAGCATTCTAAGATAGATTATATAACACTTTCTTACAGGAGCCACATGGAACCCATCTGCAGGCCTGTCAACACTTTCTCATGGATATGCCTTATGAATATGTATAGTAGCTTTTAGTTTTATAATGGGATTTTAAGAGATAGTTTCTTGTATAACTCATTCATTAAAATATTTTGGAAGCATTTACTAAAATAGAGAAAGTGCTATTAATTCAAGCAAGGGCCTTAAATTTAAATCTGGGTTCCCTACTTAGTGCTATTGGTATCTGCAATCTCCTCCATAACATCAGTGACATGCGGTAGTGGAAAAAATAATAACTCCGTACTGAGCAATAAACACATTGCTTCAATGCAGAACTACTGTATAGTGATCACAATAAACTCAGCTACACTAAGACATGAGGTTAGATAAGGTCAACTCAATGACTTTTGTACAGTACCCCAATGGAATGTAGAAATCTCTTTCTATTGCTGCCATTCTTGTCACTATGCTGTTGGGTTGTTACTAGTTTCCCTATGCATAGAGACGATACACGGAGGCTTATGGTGTGTTTACAAAGAGTCTCAGCTATGTAATGACTATATTACTTTACAATCACCAGTAAAGTCTTGAAAAATAACAGCAGGGATCTGAAATTCTGAATCTAATAATGGCTTTGGAGCAATACAGACAATTCCTAAAGCTGACAATATTATACTGTGTGGCTATGACATCTATGACCTAAGCCTCAATTCATATTTCCCATAACAATCCTTATTTTTAACAATGACAGCCAAGAAAGAAAAACCATGATCTTTATGGCAAATAACATATGTATTATATATTAATGAATTGAGTCAGCAACCATAGAATTGCAGTATTTTGAAGGTAGGATACATTCCTGTCATTCTTGTTAGGCTTAAAATTGACAGTTTTAATAGGTGATGTAAATATACAAATGTTATATATATATATATAGGACTGTAAACACAGTACAAGAGATGACTAAAGACTGCGGACACAGAACAGGAGATGACCAGAGACTGCGGACATAGTACAGGAGATGACCAGAGACTGCGGACACAATACAGGAGATGACCGGAGACTGCAGACATAGTACAGGAGATGACCGGAGACTGCATACATACTGCAGATGACCGGAGACTGCATACATACTGCAGATGACCAGAGACTGTGGACACAGTACAGGAGATGACCAAGGACTGCAAACACAGTACAGGAGATGACCAGACTGCGGACACAGTACGGACACCAGAGACTGCGGACACAGTACAGGAGATGACCAGAGACTGCGGACACAGTACAGGAGATGACCAGAGACTGCGGACACAATACAGGAGATGACCGGAGACTGCGTACACAGTACAGGGATGACCAGAGACAGCGGACATAGTACAGGGGATGACCAGAGACTGCGGACACAGTACAGGAGATGACCAGAGTCTGCGGACATACTGCAGATGACCAAAGACTGCGGACACAAGATGACTAAAGACAGCGAGATGATGACCAGAGACTGCGGACACAGTACAGGAGACGACCAGGGACTGCGAACACAGTACAAGAGATGACTAGAGACTGCGGACACAGTACAGGAGATGACCAGGGACTGCGGACACAGTACAGGAGATGACCAGAGACTGCGGACACAGTACAGGAGATGACCAGAGACTGCGGACACAGTACAGGAGATGACCAGAGACTGCGGACACAATACAGGAGATGACCGGAGACTGCGTACATACTGCAGATGACCAAAGACTGCAGACACAATACAGGAGATGACCAGAGACTGCGGACACAGTACAGGAGACGACCAGGGACTGCGCACACAGTACAAGAGATGACTAGAGACTGCGGACACAGTACAGGAGATGACCAGGGACTGCGGACATAGTACAGGAGATGACCAGAGACTGCGGACACAGTACAGGAGATGACCAAAGACTGCGGACACAGTGCAGGAGATGACCAGAGACTGCAGACACAGCACAGGAGATGACCAGAGACTGCAGACATAGTACAGGAGATGACCAGAGACTGCGGACACAGTGCAGGAGATGATCAGAGACTGCGGACACCGTACAGGAGATGACCAGAGACTGCGGACACAGTACAGGGAATGACCAGAGACTGCGGACACAGTACAGGAGACGACCAGGACTGCGAACACAGTACAAGAGATGACTAGAGACTGCGGACACAGTACAGGAGATGACCAGGGACTGCGGACACAGTACAGGAGATGACCAGGGACTGCGGACATAGTACAGGAGATGACCAGAAACAGCGGACATAGTACAGAGATGACCAGAGACTGCGGACACAGTGCAGGAGATGACCAGAGACTGCGTACATACTGCAGATGGCCAAAGACTGCGGACACAGTACAGGGGATGACCAGAGACTGCGGACCTTTGGGGAGGAGGGGGGAGCGGGTACCTGAATTTGACAAGTACACGCTCCCACTTCCTCCCTCTTCGTCTTCTGGGACACGTGACAGGTCCCAGAAGACTGCTGGACCATTCACAAAGCGCAGCTCTTCTCGCGCATACGCAGTAGGCACCTGTCTGTGAAGCCGCAACCTGTCACAGCTGGGTGCCCACACTAAAGATGCCCATGCCGGGAGAGAAGATCGTGAGGACACCGCTGGACCAAGGAACAGGAAAAGTTCTGCTGCAGAGAACAGCCGAGCAGCTGGCCCGGTATTCTGACATGGCGGCGGTGGTGGGAATACCAGGCCGGCTGCTCTATATTTGCTCCATAAGACGCACAGACATTGGAGCGAAAAATACTGTGTGTGTATATATATACATACATACACTTGACACCAAATCACATACATGTACGTCATTTGGTGTTAAGTGGTTATTCCTTTTTTTTTAGTGCGGACAGTCATCTCTCTTGTAATAGCAATCCGAACTGCTAACTAGATGCTGGATCACTATTACAAGCAGCAGAAGGGGACATCCCCCCACCCACCACCTTCCGTGGCTTTAACGGGCTGTCCCGTCCCATCTGGACAGTCGATCAAGCAGCCGGCACTTCCACTGGCTGATCATGGAGCTGAACAAAGAGCAGAAACGCTCTGTTTGGCACTATGAAATAGGGGACCGAAAGCGATGACCTTATATCACTTCTCATTTACCCAGATATAAACAGTACCATTGTTAAAAAAGAAAAGTATTTGATCACACCGATCGTGGTGTGATTAAATGCTTTTAAGGGCAGAGGAGGGATTTGGGAACTTAGGGACTCCGTGTGGCAGGCGCAGCACCCTTTGGTGCCTAGTGCGCTGTGGCATTAGGAACATTATGCAATTGCTGTTTCTTTGTTTGATTAGACTGACTTTACTCTGTAATTCCTCCAATGCTGCTCTATGGATGCAGTAGGTTTAAAGAGCACACCGAATACTTTAGTTAACTTCTTTAACCACTTCCAGACCGGACACTTTTACCCCCTTCCTGACCAGGCTAATTTTCAGCTTTCAGTGCTCTCACATTGTGAATGCCAGCATACGACACTGTATCCAAATGAAATTTTTATCATTTTTTTTCACACAAATAGAGCTTTCATTTGGTGGTATTTAATCACCACTGGGGGTTTTATTTTTTTCTAGAAAAGTGGAAAAAGACTGAAAATTTTGAAAATAAAGATGTTTTTCTTCGTTTTTGTTACTAGATTTTGCAAATAAATATACTTTCTTCATTAATTTAGGCCAAAATCCATTGTGCTACCTTTGTTTGGTAGAAATAACCCAAATCAGTTTGTATTATTTAGTCTGTATTAAAGTTATAGAGTCCACAGACCACAGTATATATATTTGATATATTTGAAAATTTATCAATCCTGATGTACTGACTACCTATATAGTTTCTCAGGGCCCTAAAATGCCAGGACAATACAAATACCCCCAAAATGACCCCTTTTTGGAAAGTAGACAGTCTGAGGTATTTAATGAAAGGCAAGGAGAGTTTTTTGAAGTTGTAATTTTTTGCAAATTTTTTAAGGGGAAATGATGAAAGTAAATAATTTTAATTTTTTTTTCACAAAGATATCATTTTAACAAGTTCTTTCTCTCACACGGCATAGGCATACTTGCAGTTACACCCCAAAACACATTCTGCTACTCTTCCTGAGTATGG